CCTGAAGCTGTATCAGGTGGGATCCATTTGCCAGTCCCTTCCCTGCTGTCTGGATGAGCAAAGCGGGTTATAGTCTACACTGATACATGATGATGTTTCATAGAATATTTGGGGAGAAATGTATTTTGCTCACAAGCCATAATCATAGAGCATGTAGATGAGGCAGGTGATGGGACAATACATAACTAATTATGGATGGGGAGAAATGTCGACTGGATAATCTCACTGCACTGTAAAGGGCAAGGGTAGGGTTTCATTCTCTTTTCCAAATTCTTTTGGGTTTTATTTGTAGCAAATTAGGAGATGATGTCCATGTTTTCTCAATTGTTCATCTAAGTAAATGCTGTGTATTCCCCATCTTTTAACGTTATCAGAAGCTTTCAACCTCATTAAAAGCTGCTATACATATTCAGAACACCCTTTTACATGACAAAAGTCTGTAGTAGTACAGCCTTTTTTGTTATGCTGGTTGCTTTTTCCTTCAATTAAAATCAATATTGATCTGTGTCTGGTTCATAGAAATATGCAAACCTATGCTGAAGAAATCCTTATGATCTGTTTCCCCTTATGACTCCTGTGGCCCTATTTGCTACAAGCTGCTAACCCTCCTAGTGCAACCAGCCCTTTTCTTCCAGTTCTACTATCTGGGTGTATTACAGGGATGTGGGAAAAATAATACACACAGGCAGATCAGCTTGGCTCAGTATCAGATGTATACATTGTGTCATGTGTAACATATATACAGCATGTATGGGTTTTGTATTGCAAATATAAAAAAAAATATTTTGTTCAGCAGAAATGCAATAAGCACTTTGTCTGTTCCAGCAATAGCATCAAGTCTTTGAGGCTGTTGTTTTACAACACCAGGAAGCATTTCACACAGGAGTGTTCAGCTCCTGAGTCAAACACAGGATGAGCAAAAGAAGTTAGGTTTTCTTTGTTTTGGTTTGGTTTTACATTTTGGCTTTCAGCCATGAACCAGATATCTGGGTACTGTAGGGACCACTGACATCATCTACTACCACTGTGTATCTGATACTCCAGTATTCAGAGAAGGAATACCAGTTTCAACGATGTCTATTCCAGAATTTTGATGCTGTAACATTTATTTTTCCAGTTCATCCTTGTACCAATCTAAATAAAAACAAAACTTCAAACAAACAAAACAAAAACTAAAAGTAGCCTACCAACAGCTTTGCATGTGCACAGACACTGGGAGCAAGTCTAGTCTATGCAGGCTTACCAGTCCTGCCCAGTGTGCTGGACATCTGCCCACAATGTGATGGCCTCAGCAAGCAAAGGCTGCAAAGCCCACCTCATTAGCTGGGTAAATAATTGAGCACGGACCCGTGCTCAGCTCCATGCTGCCATGGATACAATACCTGCAGGATTCTACTTGCTTACTTATAAAAGCTAGCCTGCATATGCTGTGAGCTACGCTATGAGCCTGTTATCCAGGAAGGCTTAAAGCCTCTTGCTTCATAGGATATGGACTGAATATTTCATCTGGATAAAATAACGATTTTGTTAAATGATTCCTTACCTCCTTAAATGAGAAGTTCTGTAGCTTCACTGGCCAAGAATCAACCCCTCGAGACTGGGCTAGTTAATTTTTGATGTGACCTGCTGGCTGATTTGGGCTGAGGAGCTGTACATTTGCTCCAGCTACCACAATAGCCCAATCCTACATGACAGCCTCCAAGCTTGGAATGGCAGCAGTGCAGCTGCTGCTGCAGTCAGTGGGAGAAAAAAATGCAGTACCTCCCCCTGTAAGAGCAGGGCCCTGATCAGCTCTGAGCAGATGTGCTATGGGTTGGGATGCTATTCAGTGACCCTATCATGAGTGGCATTCAGCTCTATTGCCCATTTCTGCACTAGAGAGATCACAGTCTGATGCCTTCTAGAAAGAAGAAATTGAGAATACTTTGTTTTGGCTGATATGGATTAAACAGACAGAAAGGTGTGTAAGATGAAGAAACCTTCCTACTCCTGTTTCTTCTTCTGGTTTGTTTTATGGGAATTTTTTGGAGATTTTTTGTTTGTATGTTTGTTTTGTTTTGTTTGGGGGTTTGTTGTTGATTTTTTTTTTTTAACTAGAGAAACACCTGATAAGTCTTTTGTTCCAAACTGTATTCCCTTATTATTACTGAACACCATCACTGGTATGTGAGAAACAGACTGGATGGGCTGCATGTCCAGAAGGAAGTCTACTGTATGTAACTGGGCAGGGGCTAACTAAAGTTCCTGTGACAGAGCAGAGCAAAGGCTTCCCTTTCTGCCCTTACTCGCCATGCTACTTACTGTTGTTGCCCCAGGCTAATTGCTCCTTGCAAACACAGGATCTCAGCAAGTCCTGATGGCCAGTAGCAGCATTACAAACTATTAGTCCCCCTGAATATTTGTCACATTTGTTGGGCTACAGAAATGCATGTCAGCCACCAAATTATGTATCATGTAAGCTGTGTGATACCTGTTTTCTTTAGGACAGGGTCTTTTCTATACCTGGACAAGGATTCATCTCATGTAATTTAGGTGTTTATTATTAGTTGTCTGCAGCTGTACCAGTCTGACTTTACAGATAATGGAGAGAAATGAGAAATACCAAGGGATGATTCACCTCATCCTAAGATATCAAAGATAGGCAAGAAAAATTGACCTTCAGACATGGTTATTCCTGTACATTAATTGTAAATGGAGCCTTGGGAACTCAGGTTAAGTAGGGAAATCAAACAACTAGAACTGAGATGATTTCTACAATGGGTGTCCCAGTTTTTAGCATCATCTGTAGTTCTACTAAAAACTGAAAGGCAACAAGCAGCCTTAATGTCCATGGCAAGTGTCCCAGCCTATGATCCACAGAATCAGCAAAAGCTGTGCTAAGAGGTCATCAAGTGTCCTTTGTATTTGTTTTCACTAATAGGTTTAATGAAAGAGGGGCATGGGGGACTGGAAAGAAACTTAGGGGGAAGACAGTAGATTGTGGCTTATGAAGTTAGGGAATTGCTGCCCAAAGCCAAACTTCCATAAAGCAGAATTGAGGTAATTTTACCTGATCTGCTTCTGGCATGTTTAGTTGGAGCAGAGGATAAAGTCTGCAACAGCCAAGGGTTACCTGACTTCTCAGATTACAAGCTCCGTGGAGCTTGGATTTTGATATAGGTCATCTGCTGGCTCCTCCACAGGGGCAAATATGGCCCATAAAAACACAATATGCTACTTTGTACCCACCACTGGTTTTCAAATTGTCTCCAGAAGCCATAACTCAGACACCTCAGTTTACACCCACACTGGAATGTGATGTGGCAGTTAAACCTGAAGATGAGTTAAGAAAATCCAGTTGTGTTTAAACTGTCATGTATTCAGAAAGCATGAGTCAGAGTGATCTCAAATGATCTCAGATATCATACTGCTACCACAGTCACATAACTCTCATCAGTGTGAACAGAAGTCAGGCACCTTAAGGAGAATAGAACAACAGAGATTTTAAAAGAGAAAATAATTTCCCATATTGGTATCAGTTGTCTAATTTCAGTGTCATCTTGAAGTATATAGTATTTAAAGTAATATGAAACAGCAGGAAGATTAATTCCTGATGTCAGGAGAGAGGAGTTATTCCTGGCAGGCTTTAATGGATCTGCTGCATCACATGGAAACTTCTTCCAGCTAGCCAGGAATAAAACCACGTACAGAAACTTACAGTCTAATCTCGTAAAGGACCCTAATCAGGGCACAGCGGGAAATTTGCAATTAGGCTAGAGCCACATGTTGTGGTTACCAACTACTCTAAGACCCCTTTGACACTGTGTGATTGTTACTTATCTATTTTATGGCACCTAGGAGCAGGCTGGCTTCTCTCAGTAGAGATCAGACATGACCTCAGCTTGAAAACCAGCCTTTGGGTTAAGTGCACAATGTGAGTGGAGCCAAGGGTTTCAAGTGGTTACAGTTACCCAGCACCGCATGCAAGCACTTTAGTTTATTAAGTGCTAAGTCAACACATGAGAGTTTTCGCAAAACCAGTGTCAAAAAGTAGGAGCAATGGGACAAAACGAAGGAGAAGACATCCAACCACACTTAGCCATAACCATCACGAAGCTGGAAGAACATACAGCTGCAATGGCTATACTGCCAGCACAGAACAATTAATTGTCAGGTTGATTTGAGAGAGGAGACAGGATAGTAGCTTTTCCAGTCTGCTCAGGAGTGTCTCCCAGGGCCAGGAGCCACTGGCTGGGCAGCTGCAAGGGAACCAGTCTGACGGGACCCTGAAGTCAATGGAGAAAAGAGAAAACCTGCAGATGAGTAGTGTTTGGAGGCAGCAGAATCATAGGAAATGTATACGTTACAATGGCAATACGGCACATCCCGGCACCAGGAATGGTTCAGAAAGGCCGGGATAGCACGGCATGTCTGCTGTCTTGGCAGAAATCAAACTGCAGCCCGCGGTGCGGAGTGAGCTGGGTAAGTACCACTGCCTTCGTGGGGAGCAGACCCAGGGTACAACGAACGTAACGTGAGGGGGTTTTAAAGAAACTGAGAAGCGGGTCTGTTTCTGGGAATCCCTGTGAAAGTCCTATCTTTGAAGCGCAGAGGAAAATGGGACCCTGGCCCAAGCTGCACCCAAACGAAGCCACCTGACCTCCTTCGCGTTGGTCCTCAGAAGCAGAGACCTGAACAACCCCGAGGCCCCGCCTGGGAACCCTCCCCGTCGCTCCCGCAGCGAGCACAGGGGTGCCGGGCCGGGATGGGCTGTCCTAGGGGGCCGCGGTCACCCGGGGCTCCGGCAGCAAAGCCCCCGGCTCTGCCTCAGGCAGGGAAGAGCCGCCGCCCCGGGTATCCCGGGGACGGCCCAACCCGGAGGTGAAGGAGAACCCCGGCTCCCGCCCGGCCCCGCACGGGGGGAGTTTCTCCTCAGCAGGTGGGGCCGCTCCGCCGCCCGCCCATCCTCACCGCCGACACGGCGCGGCTTCCCGCCCCAGCGGCTGCGCCTCGCCGGGAGCAGCCGCCGGCAGCGGCAACAGGTCCGTGCCCGCTCCTCCCTCCCCTCCGCCTGCCAGGCGAACAAAGGGGCTGAGCGCGGCCCCGCGCCCGCCCGGCCCCTCCGCCAGCTCGGCCCCTGCGCTTCAGCCATTTGCCTCGCCTGGCATCGCCCCGCCGCTCTCTCCCCGCCTCCCCGGCCTCCCCCGCCGGCTCCCGCGCCGTGGGCGAGGCGGCGGGGCCGCTGCGCTGCAGGAGCTGCCCCGGGCGGAGCGGGGCTCGGCGGCCGCTGGAGGAAGGTAAGCGGGTGGGGGGGAGCAGAGCGGCCGCGGGACGGGAGCGGGGTCGGGCACATCCCGGCGCCGGGGCTGTGCCAGACCCCCCTCCCCGCCCGCCGCCGCGGAGCCTCCGGGGAGCCCGTGGGGAGGATCGGTGCCGGTGTCTGCCGATACCTGCGGTACAAACCGCGACGCCGAACCATGGTAGCTGTGTGTGTGTGTGTGTGTGTGTCTGTGTGTGTGTGTGTGTGTGTGTGTGTGTGTGTGTGTGTGTGTGTGTGTGTGTGAGGGGGGATGCTGGAGCACTGTCAGGTTTAATCGTGCTATTCTGTTCCCTCTGTTCCCCTTAATCCCCCTCCTCTGGCCAGCAGGGAGGCCAGACATATCCCCATATCCCTTCTCCATATGTCGCAGAGAGAGCCAACCCTAATGCTTGCGTACTTTTTTTTTTTATCCTGCTGACCTATTAAAAATCTAAATGACTCTTTACACTAACGTTTAGGGATGTGTAAGAGCAGCAGATTGCTTCCCGCTATAAATTCTTCATGGCGTGCTTCCCCATCCTACTAAAAGCATATGCAAGCCCTGGGTGAACACATGCATGCAGGATTTTGCAGGGTGGAGGATGCCTGAAGAAAAGTCCTACTGAATTTCAGTTGTCTGAAGGTGGTAGGTTTTTATGTCTGGTTCTTTAAAGCGACTAAAAGCCGACTTCTGAACCCAAACCTACACACAGCACAGAGAAATGATAGTATTAAATCGTACAGCCAACTTTCTTCACTATCAAGCAAAAATAAAGCCCTCTAGAAGTAACATTCTGTAAAGCTTTTCCACAGCAATTAAATTGAACAATAGAAAACTAGAACAAAAATCTAGGAAAAAAGTAGGGCAATAAAAAATAGAATAGCAATAAAATAGAACAATCATTCTGTATGATCTGAGAAGCAAAATAGCTCCTCCATTTTTCACAGACTTAACCATCTGTCTGCCAAAAAGGAATTAAGTGGAATGTTTGTGGGAAATAATAATTAAATTGTCACTAATATTGTCAAAACAATATTTGCTCCCCTGTTTAATTCTCTGGCCCATCGTGCTTGTTCTGCATTCTCCTCTGCCCAGGGCACATCACACAGCATTTATTTGCTCTTTAATTAGGACATCCAGTGCATGCCAGTGGGATCCTCTGGTCATTCACTGTTAATGGTACTGTCTGAGGAGAACCTGCCAAAGAGCCAGGGACAGTTCCCATGCCTGCCCCAGCTCCTTTCTGCTCTCCAGGACTCACTCCTGGCAATGGTGGCACTGAAGTCAGTGGTGACAGTCTTAGGAGCTGGAGTTTGCAGGACTTAGTATCAAAAGACTCAGATCCTTAATAGCTTGCTTTCTTCTATGAATGCTGTGCTTTCATCACTTTTCAGTATAACAAATAGTCCAAAGAGGTGGACAGACTTGAAATGTCAATAAATATTAGAGCACCATTATTTGGCAGGAACATTCAATGAAAGCCATTAACTGGCTTTACTGTAGTAAAGCAGGATTATAGTATTTAGGGTTGGCCTAGGTTACCATAAAGACAGTGATGTGGTTAGATGACTGGATTCAGATCCTACTTACCAGGGGTTTCGGCATCCTGTAGTATCCTGTTGCAAGAGGATATTAGCGGCAGCTGAATGCTAAAGAAGGGTATAATAAAACATGAAAGGAAATCCTGCAATTTCTTTTAACATAGAATTAAGTTGTTTTGGTTTTTTTTTAATACTTTTTTTTTCTTGATGAGGTCCTGTATGGATTTTGCAAGCGTTTTTCTATTTATCTCTACTGACATTGTGCAGCATTGCAGTTGGAAGCCTGTTTCTTTCTTGTAAACAGAAGGAGAGAAGTCATTTTATACCTCTTCACATCCTTGAAAATACCCATTTTAAAAATGAGCTCATTTCCATTAGCCTTCTCTGGACATGACATTTTTATGTCTGCTCTTTTATTTTTCTATGGAATTGTCATCATCTATTCTTTCTGCTTCTTTTTTGGTCTCAGTGTTGTTTTGTCAGACAACAGACATGATTAGTTCCTTTCACTGAAGAATTACTTTATAGCAGTTCACGATTTGACAACCAGTTTAACCTGATCTATGAATGAGCTGTCCCTGAGCAGGAAGGGACCCTGCTCCTTCTCTAGCCTGGGCCATACATTCCTGCCCAATTCTCTGTGCCGGCACTCATAACCATGTGACAATACAGTGAATGGATGGAGATTTTGCCTTCCTCCTGCAGTTAATTAAGCAAACACCCAGTTTACACATGCAGATGTTGGCATTAGGAGTGGGGCTGGTCCTGGGATCAGACCATTTAAATCTGCCTGTAACTCTCTGAGGGATCAAGACCTGTGTTTTCCTTAGACAGTGTTGGGAATGCTGCAGGCTTTTTTTTTTGTCCTCATCCTAAAATGCTCCTTGGATGCTAACTGGCAGTTTTGGCATTGAAAGGATTGCAAGACTGGGTCAGTATTGTATATGGGGTATTGAGTATTTGGTACTTTCCAGTTCCTTATACCCCATCAGCAAGGATGTCAGGAATTTGTGATCGGTTAAGTCAGTTTATTTAATGCAAAACAAGCTGGAGAAAAAAATCCAGTGGTTCTGCAGATTTTGTGCCATGTGTCAGAGGGAGAAGAAAGATGTGTCACATAAATGCTTTTCAGGTGTGATGTTTCACGAGCTGCCATTGCTGTGCCTCTGGCTAAAACAGGCGAGTTGACAGCCTTTTTTAACTCACTCAGAAACACTCCAGAAACCACAACCTTTCTACACAAATTGGCATAAGTTGGTCAAGCAGCTTCCATGCTGTTATATTGTCTGTCACAACATGATTTGCATTAATTGAAGTTATTTTACATGTACACATTTATAGATTAGCACAAGCTGTTTGTTGTTTTTCTGGACACTGATTCCTTCAGCAGTACTTAAGGAGCAGAGTAAGCTTTGCATGTGGATCTCTAACTGCTGGAAGGCTCCTAGACTTCTGAATAATTTCAGACTATCAACCTGTCAGAGTTAAACAATAGTATGTTGTTTCTTTTTTTTCTTGGAAGCAGATCTGCTTTTCTCTCTCTCCCTCTCTTTTTAGTAGATTGAAAGAACAGGCCTTAAGATGTGGAGATAAACTATTATTTCTGCAACCCATATTTTAGAGTGTTAGACAGTAAGAACTAAAAGCCAACCCTTTGCTATGGGAATACCATGAGAACAACAAATGATCTGATTCCATCAGTCAAAGACAAATCTGTTCATGGGAGAGTTCTCCTCTTATCCTGTAGCTTTCTTCATTTCTCCTTTACTGCAACTCCCTGCATTGCTTCACTTCAAAAAAAGCTACTGTATACATTTCTGTGTACAGCTGTGGTAGATTAACCCTGGCTGGATGAACATGCCCACCAAAGCCACTCCATCACTGCCCTCCTCAGATGAACAGGGAGAGAAAATGAAATGCAAGTCTTGTAGGTCGAGATCAAGACAGTAAGAGATCACCCACCAGCTACTGTTACGAGCAAAACAGACTCAACGTGAGGAAATCAGAGTAGGATAATGAGAAATAAAAATGAAATCTTGAAAACAGCTTCCCTTCACCCCTCTTTTCTTTACAGGGATTAACTTTATTCCTGAATTATTTATCTTTCTCCTCCTCCAGGGGAACAGGGAATGGGCATTTTGGTCAATTCATCACAAGTTTTATATGCTGCTCCTTCCAGAGATCTCTCCCATGGGAGGCGGTTCTCCATGAACTTCTCCAGTGTGAGTCCTTCCCACAGGCTTCTATTCTTCATGAACTGTTCCAGTGTGAGTCTCTCCCATTGGTTGCAGTCCTTCAGCAACAGGCTGCTCCAGGGTGGGTCCCCTGTGAGGTCACAAGTCCTGCCTGCAAACCTACTCCAGTGTGAGCTTCCCACAGGGTCATGGTACCCACAGCAGCCATCTGTTCCAGCATGGAATCCTCCACAGGCTGGAGGTGGATCTCTGCTATCCCATTAACCTGCATGAGCTGCTGGGGCACAGCTGCCTCATCATGGTCTGCACCATAGGCTGCAGGGGAATCTCTGTTCCAGTGCCTGGGGCACCTCCTCCCTCTCCTTTGCACTGACCTTGGTGTCTGCAGAGTTGTTTCTCTCCCATATTCTCACTCCTGTCTTCTCTGGCTGCCATTTGCTCCTGCGCAGTAACTTCTTCTACTTGTTAACTATGTTACCCCAGAGGTTCAGCCATCATCGCTGACCGGCCTTGGCCAGTGGTGGGTCTGTCTTGGAGACGGCTGGCATTGTCCCCATCAGACATGGGGAAGCTTCTGGCAGCTTCTCACAGAAGCCACCCCTGGAGCTCTGCCGCAGCCAAAACACTGCCATGCAAACCCAGTACAACAGTGTAAGAAATCCAGATGCTCATGAAGTTAATGGGAATTTTCCCTTGACTACAGTGGTGTTGGGATTTAAAGTGATGTTAGACTCTGGCTTTATCAAAATGCTCTGAAACTTAGGTGGAGGTTTCTAGCTGCATGCTGCTAGCACAAACCTCGTTCTCTCCAAAGCAGTACACAGATATATTTCTTGTTTAATAACAACTGATAATAGAGTCCTGAAGTTTAGTTTCCACAGCAGATGGAAAACCAGTAAAAGTAAATGTTATTTGAGTGTATTGCTTTGTGAGCTTTGGAGTTAGGCAGTGTCATGTGTCCCAAGAAGTTTTACACCTAGGAAAAGGGGAGCAAAGACTGTTTATGCGCATTCACATGATAAAATTCACTGGTGCTGCTGCTTGTTGTTCAGGATGAGGTCTACCACTCATTCACTGTGACAGAAGACCTTTAAGACAGGGAGCAGAGTGGCAAGGATCTGTTAGTTAGCTCAATGCCTGGACAGTATTCCTGGCAAGATATTTTGCAGCCTTACAGGAAACAAATACTTTTATTGCACCCCCAAAATCAGGCAACTTTTCAGAGTAGTTGTTGAAGAGCCTCAGTATCTGCTTTGAGGAGATGTTGATGTGTATCTAAAATTTTTCTCTAGTCAGAAGTAAACAAATTTTAGACTTAGAAGTGAAACATCAAAATCTTTAAAATGGTCAAGAACCACAAATGGGAACCCCTGAATTTGTCTTCTTCTCACACCTCCTAAATCATAACCATGAAACCAAGCACCTTTCTGCCTCTTATTCTGATTTGAAGGTCTGTCTTCTTACTCCAGGTTCTTACTGTACAGCTCTGTCTAGATTGGTAACTAATAAATGCACTGTGACTATTGAACATGATACAGATTTAATGACATGCATTAACAACCCTGTATTCTGTAGCACTTTAAAAGGACAAGTTTGAATCATAGATTAGTCAGACATAACTATGGTCTTTGCATCTCCTCTGTGTCAGGAAGTCCAAAAGCAGATAGGACAGTTCTGAGGTAGCTGTGGTCATCATCACCCTTCGTGATTGTGTTGCCAGTCTGTATGTCTCCTCATAAAGAGTATGGATCATTTTGGGAAAACAGGATGCTCCAAGTCAGCAGATACGATAGTGCAAAAGGCAAAAAAAGTGAATTCTGAGATGAAAAGCATCATGCACATTTCCAAGGTATTCAGGATGATCCATTTGACATCTGAATATCCATCAAGGCCATTGGCCAAAACAGAGAAACCATATAGATGTGAGATGGATTATTTGAGCAGAACAGTGCTTCCACCTAATGCAACCAGAAGTTATTGGCATGGTACAAGAATAAAATTCTTTGGCCTGTTCTTGCAGGAATAAGATTAGATAACCAGGTAATCTTTTCTGTTCCTTAAATGTAGGCATCTTAACTATTACCTATCTATCCTGTTAAATGGAAAAAAACATTCTTGTTTTTTGAGTATAGTCAGAGAGATCAGTGCAGGCAGAAAATATTAGACTTAACACCCAGGCTCAGCATATGAAATTCACATTATAGTAAAAAATATTATGCCTGTAATGCAGAAGGTGTCAGGCCATGAAAATAAGAGTGTTTGATTAGAAACCTATTTTATTTTTGTCTCGGAATGGCCAGTAAGTGTTAAATTCTTCTAATGTAAACAGCATGCATTGCACTCGGTTTTCTCTTCTTTCCCTGTTCATTTCCAAACACCCCATGGAGCAGCCTCGTATTTTGTTGAGCCCTCAGTTACGTTATTGCTGCTAAAAGCATTCCCACTGCTTGGTGAAATCTGTGCTGACAGCCTGCAGGTACTTCTGATAGTAAAGGCTTTCCACAAAAGTAGCTATGACTCCAGCATGTGTTTATGCTTTGAGATCAACAAATGTGTTTTTCAATCCTAGCACAACCCAGGATGGCTGAGCCCTGACCCACAAAAGGCAAGTGAAAGAACAGAAACTTCCCCTTTGTCAGGAAACAGAACCAAGGATTCTTCTTCCTCATCCTCAGAAACATTTTTATTGTTTCTGTGAAAAGTAATGCAGCTTTAGTCTGAAGGAGAGTAACCTTTCATAGACTTGATAGTTTGGGCGCTCCACTGACTTTTGGGGATTTTACTCATCAGGCAAAGGAAGGGGCAGTGGCAAGTTTTCCATGTAGCTTGGTTAGGTCTTTAACTGTTGTACAGAAAGTCAAAGTAGCAGCAAGAGTCAGTACTGCTATCTTTTAAAGTAAGAACTAATGTCTCCTGATTGTACAAACTAAGCACTTTGTCACTATGGTCTTTGGTATTTTTCTACTGGCTAGCCCTTGGTAGCTCTCATATGCTGGTTTTTGGGGTTCTGAGTCAATTGACATCTAATGTACCCACACAATGCCTGTGTGCGCAGAACCCATCTGTATGTTCCAGATTCCACTCCAGGATCTTGTTAAAGGTAGATCAGCAGCGCTGTACAGCTCAGACACACGGCATCGGTCTCTCCCCTTGCAGGAGAACTGGGAGGTGCATCCCACTCACAGGGATGGTGTGTAGGAATGTGGCCCCACATGTCTCCACCTTGGCCTGATTTTCATGAAATAATAAATAAAAGAAGTCAAACTCCTATGAGTCACCTAATAGTTCACAGTTACAGGCCCAACAGCAAACTCTGTGAGCCAGCATTTCTGCCATGGCAGAGAGAAGTCTGTGCAAGCTGATTCCTTTCCTCCTTTTAGATTAGGGCTGTCATGCTGGAGGTTTTGCTTTGCTATCTGATCTGGCTGTCTTGGGTCTTACATCTCTGCTGCATTGCCATCTGCCAACTAAAACTGCCCTCAGAGTCAGCCTTTGCCATGTTAAGCACTGCGGCAGGTCTCTCCACCTTTGAATCTAGTCCAAAATCTATGTAGAGACTGTCTGCAGAAACATGGAAATATTCTGTAAATGGAACTATGTGTGGTGTAATTTTTAGTTGCAGCTAGAATGATTGTAAACCTTAAGTTTGAAGAAGTACCTGGGCAAAGAAATAATATATGCTCTTCAAAAATGAGAAGGGTGCCATTCACAATGTATCTGAAGGACCTTTGCCTTTCTAAGCATCACTTACCTCATTTGTCAATAAATCAATGAACCTGTTCAGTCTCTAAAAGGGGGTTTTTTTTCTCTTAAGTATCAAATTTAGAGTTTGTCTGGAAAAAGTGTTTTCATTAATTGCCTCCTCTAGAAATATTACTTTCTTTTCCTAGGCATAAGTCTCAGAAAAATGGAGCTGTTTGCTTTCCTTTGAAGTCTGTTATTACCTCTCACATTCTGTCTTTCTCAAGCACAATGGTGACATATTTTGGCAAATTTCTGTTGTTTTGGGCTCTTTAATCTGTATGTCCTTTCCATAATGATATTAAAAGCAAAATCCAGGTTTTTTAGGAATTTAATTTCCTCCAAATACATTGTCCCATCTTCTGTATTAAATACAATACATAGCAGGCGTGTTGGAAGAGTATAGTCCATTTATAGAGATCAAGTGCTCTTCTGGAATGCAAAACCAAGCCTGACTACTTTGATTTTCAAAATTCTATCTGAACTAGTTTGCTGTTTTGCTTGACTTGGCTTCTCAGTCGATATTCTCCTCCTTGTTTATTTGTACCAACATTGCTTAAGTGTTTGTAGAGATTTAGAACATGTTTGCTATTTATTGACCATACAGTTTAGTGCTGAAAAGCATTTCTGCAATCAACATTACCACATTGCACTCCCAACATTACACACTAATGCTTAAATGAGGCTTTTAATCATCACAGGCTGATGCTTTGCTTCAAGTCATTGCTCCTGGTGTATGGCAATTTTTAGAACCTAAGGTCAGAAAGGATAACTAGATCAACGAGTCTGCTGCTGTAAAATTTCTGTCACCTTGGACTCACCAAGGCACACAGTCATGATCCCCTTCATGATATCAGAATAAAGATCTTCCTATATCAGATCAAATGTCCACCTAGACAGCATCATGCCTCCCACATGGACCATAATCCAGTATTCAAAGAAGTGTGCAGCAGGATAAGAATTTGTATTTCTCCGTAGGATACTACTTTAATTATTAATACCCTGACCATTTCCCACTCAGGATCCTCCTAAGCTGTATGCACCTTTTGTGTTTATTGTGTATTTGGTCACCTTCTATTTGGTCACCTTCTGTCACCTATAAAGGATTTCTTTTCCTTGAACCCATTCTTCACTTTCCCCATCAATTAATGTAAACTTTCAGTATCCACAATACTCTAGTAGTCTTCCCCCCTCCCCCCCTCCCCCGGTAGTGTAAATATTTTGCTTTGTTTACACTTACACTTAGGTTGTTTAAGGTTTTCTCCAATAGCCTAATAAAGCCATCAGGATGCAGAATTTTCATGTGCCTACACTTGTGCACAGTTATCAAG